AATGAGAGTTACTCCTGTGTTTCAATATTTGCTTCAAAAGTAGCACATTTAGGGCAGAGGAACCACGCCCTCCCACCATTATTATTATTTTTTTAATTGCCCCACTAAACATTATTTCATCAATTTTCTGTGACTACCCTGACATGAGTGATCAGAGAAAAGAACCTTGTTGGCATGATTAAAGTTTTCCTACTTCTCAGATAATACTAGAACTAGATCAAATGAAGCCGAATGTTGGGGGATTTAAGGTAGACAAAGGGACCTCTTCACGCAGCACTTAGTTAAACTGTGCAACTCACTTCTACATGTAGTAGCAATGACCAGCAACTTGGAAGGCTTTAAAAGGGCGTTAGACAAATTCATGGAAAATAAGGTTAACCGTGGCTACTAACCTCCATAGGGACATGGATGGCGCTGTGGGTTAAACCACAGAGCCTAGGACTTGCTGATCAGAAGGTCGGCGGTTCGAATCCCCATGACGGGGTGAGCTCCTGTTGATCGGTGCCTGCTCCTGCCAACCTAGCAGTTCGAAAGCACATCAAAGTGCAAGTAGATAAATAGGTACTGCTCCGGCGGGAAGGTAAACGGCGTTTCTGTGCACTGCTCTGGTTCGCTAGAAGCGGCTTAGTCATGCTGGCCACATGACCCAGAAGCTGTACACTGGCTCCCTCGGCCAATAAAGCGACATGAACATTGAACCAAGTGAGAGGAAGGGGTTAAAGTGGCACCCCAAACACACAGAACACAAAAGAAAAGAGTGCTCCTTAGGGGAGTATGATAATCACATTACGCTTTCAAGTCTAATGCTAATTGCTATGGAAACAAGTGCTAAAATGCACCGGGAGAATCGTCTTATCCTCCTATTATGCCTGTGCAAATGAAGAAAGTACAATAAATATCCTTTCAAAACTGAAGCCTGAGATTGACTCCCATGGTACTGCAGCCTTGTGATACAAAGACCAATACCCCTTCTGTCAAATCCCTTCTTGGAATTCACTTTTTATGTGACCTCTTTGACACAAGCCAGAGGTGGGGAACCTGTGGCCCTCCAGATTTTTCTTTCTTTACTCCAACTCTCATCAGCCCTAACCAGCATATCCAGTGGTTGGGAATGAAGGAGCTTGTAGCACAGCAACATCTGAAAGGCCACATGTTCCCCATAAGCCACTTTTCATTGGTTATAAGCCACTGCAGTTAAGCCTGTATCCGGAAAAGGATGCAGTCTTCCCTCATTTCCTTTACTCTCTTATCTCCCATTTGTTGAAATTATCCCTTATGCTCTTATACACATTGATGGTATATAAGGAGGATAAAATATGCATTCTGTGTACGAAACTTTGCAGCCCTCCATACACAGATATCAGCTGTGTGCAATCAGTTGCCCAAGCAAATGTCGGTTGTGCAATCAACCCTCCCCTCCCACAAGGATCACCATGCCTTCATCCAATAGTTGCATGCAGAACTTCTGGTGTCCAGAACAGTTTTATATAGACAGGCTCTTGATATACCGTATGCAAGGCATGACCAGTGTGTGAAACACACCCAGAGGATGCCTGCAGATATGATTTCTGCTTCTCATCCCAGCACACAAACACACTGATAGTGCATAGATTCCAGTTATTTGAACAGTGCACCAGGGTGTCATCTTGGAATAAAGCCCCATTGGACTTTATTGAACTGCTGAAAAGAGTTCCTCACCCCTCTGTTTGATGGTTCTTCATTAAAAGGGAGATATGAACGTCAGTGTAATAGGCCTGAACAATAGTCAAAGCAATCCCGAATGAACATAGTACAGTTATAAAATATTTACTGTACTCACGCTGACCTAGCTGAAGAATGTGACAGCTCTCAGTAGCAGTTCTTTGGTCTATGAGGATTATTTCTACAGTGAGTAGACACATACACACACACACACACACACACACACACACACGAGTGCTACAGAGTTTTCAGTAGTACTCTTCAACTACCTTCACTGGGGATTAGAATGTGCAGAATCTTCTGGCAGTCATCAGAGCCTGCAGCTGGTGAACACTCCCTTCTGTCTCTCTGTGTTGCTGATATGACTACTGGTATCAGTAGCTGTGCAAGTGATGTGCCCTGCTAACGCTGAACATCAAAATTCAGAAGCTTTTATTCTGCCCCTCTTCCAGTTTCTAGTGAAGAACATAGAATCAGACAAATTAATTCCACAGACAAATCTACCTCAGCCCAGTTTGGGGTTGGGCCTACTTGAAAAACAATGGATACTAACATGGCAGATTCTGGGGAAGCAGGAAGTGCATGAGCCTCACACTTCCTGTCTCCCTTACATCTCTGTCCCATCTGAAACAGAATGTCCACACACATACCCCAGATCTCTCTGCATTAGAAAAGTCACAAAGGAATATGGATGCAAACTTCCTACTCCTTCCAAATGTCCATTATGGTCACAGAAATTCCATGTTTTGAGGTGGGTCAGGGATGTGTCTCTTCAGATGTTTTGCTGGACTACAATCACCATTAGCCCCAAACTATATAACCATTGGTCAGGGATGATGATGGGAGTTGTTGTCTGACATCATCTGGAGGGCCACAGGTTCCTCACTCTGGTTGTTTGTGTTACAGAGGAAGACCACTTTTCAAATTAGCTAGTTCAAATTAACAATGTCTGATATTCAGAAGTCCCAAGAAGAGTTTGTATAGCAGGGATAGCAGCTATGGCCCTTCAGATCTTGCTAGACTACAACTCCCATCAACCCAGCCTATATGACTATTGGTCAGGTGCTGGTAGGAGCTATAGTCCAACTAAATCTGGAGGACTACAGGCCCTCCCTCTTTGAGGTAGAGAGTCAATTCTATTTACTTTCAGGGTGGGGCATGCACTTCTTTAGCCAGATGGATGATACTTCCCCATAGTCTCCTGACAAACTACTCTAGCCATGTCTCTAGGATTGGACAATGTGGATTTGGCCAATCTGATACTTTTACAAGTTGGCACCTCCTGTCTTTGTGGTTTGGTAATGGAAGGGGCTCTATTATTGTTCCAACTCCTAGAAACCTTTGAACACTCATAACTGAGATAGTTGTGGGACTGGAATGTGGAGAAGCAGCTCTCATGCTACTCCATTGAAGTATTCCTTGGTCATCTGGGTGGTATTGCCTATGATAGGAAGGTAGAAATATGCCCTGTCTTCCAGTGCCAATAGACTTTTGTACCACTCCATCCTGTCTAGTTCCATCAGTTGTGTCCAGTAACCCTCTGAATGTTCTGTTGATGTGTGCTTGACCTGTTAACGCTCCTTTTGCCCCATGTCTGTAGGCCACATACCGAAGATTTCAGTATGGATTCCTCCCTGTCACAGTAAGTGAGCTCCAAACTGCATGCGCTTCAAGATGGCAACAGTACTCTGATTTGAGAAACTCATTTACATTCTATTCTTCTTAAGGTTATTTACCGAGGATTGTGAGTGGAAGTGGAAGAATGTGAGCAGTTTTTAAGCAGGGGGCCACAATCTTAAATTGGTTTCAAACAATTAAAACCAGAACTGGGGCTTTTACAAGTGTTATGTAACATCTGTTCTATGCATGTGAGGAATGGATCTTTCATGTGGAATTGCCTACTCTCTGGGAGTTCTTGCTTGTTAATATTAGGCAGTCACTTCATTGTATCACTTTCAACACCCGCTGAAAACTTTTTTGTTTAGGTCAGCCTATTCAGACATGTAATCTTATTATATATATTTGTTTTTTAAACAGTTGCTTTTATCTTACATTTTGATAACTTTGTTATGTCTAGTTGTTTTCAAAGACTGTTGATTAAATCAGCATTTCTTTAATGAGTATTTCATATTGTTTCATGTAAACTTGCTTAGAGGTTTGTTTGTTGATCGTTATAGAAATCTTGCTAAGTAAACAAACTCCCATTTCCTCTCCCTGGGGGACTCTGCCAATTTTAGTTCTATGATGTGGAAAAGATTTCGAGATCACTAATGAACTCTGAGTGTATCACCAAACTACAGTTCCCAGGGTTCTTTGGGGGAAGCCATGTTGGCTAAACTTAACATAAAACAGACTGTAGATGTTCTCTCAGTTTTTCCTGAGAATGCTCCCATCAGCAATTTTTCTTTCTTTCTGTATCTTCAGTGACTTTTTCTCTATAACTCTCTGCTTTATACCACACGAGTCATTAGCCTACATTCATTATGTAAGAAAGAATTTGTGTGTTTTCCCTGCTCACTGTCAGGGCTGGCAAGGAATATATAACTCTGTGTCTCAGAGAACATAGATGCCCAGCCTATGGAGATTCAACATCACAGGCAAACACTTTTTCAGCAGCCACAATGGACATTTCTCAGATGGTCCCTCAAGATGGAGTTATTTCTGTTGGGAGTGAAGCAACAACACTTGCAATAATTTACCTGACAGAAAGACAACCTATTCTTCCCTCACTGTCTCCTTCTTGAGTAACTGTATGTGGATTTAAATTTTTAAAAATTAAAAAAATTGTCCAGTAGCACCCTAGAGACCAACTAAGTTTGTTCTGGGTATAAGCTTTAGTGTGCATGCACACTTCTTCAGACACCATGTGGTTATGTGGATTGTTTTGGCTCTCAGGCTTTATTTCCTTCCCGCTGCTTCTTTAATGTTAGTGCCATAAGGTTATCATGACTCCATTTTTTCCTCATAAAAGCTTGTACTTAGAATGGCTTTGTTTGCCAGGAGTAATAAACCTTAAGCTCGTATTCTTTCAACCAGCTGTCTTGCCAGACTGCTCGTGTCTGTACTGCACTGTGATATATATACTAAGCATCAACAATTTCAGCCTGCAGGTTTTGACTGAAGCCCCAGCAAGTAAAAAATATATAGGAGAAACTGGGACCATGGTCTCTCAAATACATTTCATCTCAGGGAAATCAGTTCTGAAAGTGGAGTTAGTCTGTTGGATCATCAGACCAGCCACTTTACAGATCTCTGACTCCTTCTTTCAGGCCTGCAGGTATGTTCCAAAATGAGCATAAGAGTAGCATAGTGGTAGAGCATCTGCTCTGCATGCAGAAGTTCTCAGGTTCAGTCCCTGGCATCACCAGGTAGGATTGGGAGAGACAATAGTGAGCAAAATAGGGCAATGTTTTGACTTGGTATAAGACAGCTTCCTATGTTCTTTAAAAGGAACGGGCTGTAGCTCAGTGATAGAAAATCTGTTTTGCATGCAAAAAGTCTGAGGTACAATCTCTTGCAGATTGTGGTTTAACATGGGCCCCGAATCTGAAAAGACTAGTGCCTGCTGTTGCTGTATACCTGTATTGCATCCCCAGAGAAAGCAGCTGTTTGCAATTAACTGCTGGAGAACAGATGACACCACTTCCATTTATGAAAGTAGCACTTGTTAAATAGATCTGGGGATTCATTGATTTAATATTGTCCAATAAATTCATCAAATGCTGGGGATAATTATGTTGCTGCATGTGGCTCCTTGCATGTGGCTTGACAATGATGTGTCATTTTTTACTTACAAGGAAGTCCTCAACAAAATTGGTGGTGATGTGGCTATATGGCAAGGGACTTCAGACAGTTACCAGTTACTTGAAATAAATGCTGCTCTGGACTCGTCATTTTCAAGTGGCCTCATCAGTCTCCTCCATGGGCATATCAGCTTCTTCCAGTTTCCTATGAGTGCCTGAGACTACAACTCCCATCAGCCCCGGGCCAATGGCCCATCAATATTTAAAGGTCCACAGGTTCTCCATCCCTGTTCTAGCCTATCAGAAGTGGGGAACCTGCAGCTCTCCTGATGCGGTAGGATGGCAACTCCTACCAAGCCCTGGCCAATGGTTAATCTACAGGGCCACAGGTTCCCCACCTTGTCTATCAGGGTCTGAGAGCTGTGCCCTCACAGTCAGAACTAGTTCTTTGTAGCATTAAAAGCAGAAGGGTCTAAGGGTTCTGAAAGTTGAATATCTGGTCAGGGAGTTTACACAGTAGGGGAATCCTTCAATCTGCTAGTTCTCCCTCCCAGAGTATCCACCTGGGTTCCATTTTCATGGGGAGGTTGGAAGGAACTATCAGTTCAGCAACACTGGAAGCAGAGACTTGTACCGGTAAGTTCCCAGTTCGCTCTCAGCCTTCCTTGGAACAGTTCGCTCACTTGGAACTATCTGTGGTGCTGAAAATACCAGCATGTTTAATTCTATTGTGTCCAGGGCAGGCCATGTAATTATATGGAGGAAAAAGTAGAAAGGTCCTTAATGAAATCCATGAGCCTAACAACTTTAGCCAAATCACATCCACCTCCCAAACCCTGGTAGGCTTCTAAAAACAATAGCTAAGAATGATCAACCTCTGATTTTCTGCAGTTTCTGTACTGTCTGCAACAGAGGTGATAGAACTTTTAATAGCAACCTGGGATGGAGGGCTTGAATATGATAGGATCGCAGTACAATGGGGGGAAATATTAACCCTTTTCCCCTCTGCCGATTTCCTGGTAATAAAAACCTCACCCATTTTTGTTCTGCAGAGGAAAACACACAGGTATGATAGTTTTTCCCTAAGGGGCACCTCATGTAGTCTAGAACTGATTTTACCTCCATTGCATGGATGTGTATGTGGGTGTGTGGGTGTGTTCTTATGCTCTTATGATTCCAATTGCATTCAAAACATTTGCAGTTTGTGTTCTTGACTCTTGGTGCATTTGTTTAAAAAATATGTCACGTGGCATTATTTCTATTTGAGTCTGCAGTTCAGGTGCTGCAGACTGAAAATGTGGGGCAGGCCTGGAACATTTGGAAGGCACCCAAGCTTTCAGAATTAAGGAGGAGAGATGCTGGCTTAATAATAATTCTCAGAGGGCATGACTTTCTTTTTAGTATCAAGGAACATCCCTTACCATTGGTGTAATCCTTTTGTTTACACACAAGGCTTTGGAGCAGAAAATTCATGCTGATCTGTTGTTGTTATTATTGTACTGATTAGTCAAAATACTGACCATGGGTAGAGAACTTGTGTTGCCCTCCAGAAGTTTCTGGATTCCAAGATGCATCACCCTTGACCACTGGCCATGCCGAGTGGGACGGATAGGAGTTGGAGTACAACAGCATCAGAGGAGTGCAGATTCTCCACCAGTGAGATATACTTTATGCTCTTTAGTAAGGATGTCAGGATATAAAGACGGGTTGCTGGCATATATGGCAGATGTAAAAGACTCCCCTGATTTGGTTGTTTCAATTAGTTTTTACTTGGCTTTGTACATTTCCTTTCTTGTTCTTTTTAGTAGTTACTGATAAAAACAAATCCTGTAATGGGGTTTTAAATTTAGATATGTAACTTGTTGAATTGTACTTAGCAATGATTTTATTTCTTGGGGTGATTGCTAGATTTTCATTTTTGAATCCGTTTATCCTTAAGTGGGTTTCTTTTGTTCCTCACCTCATTCATTATATAATGAACATATTTCCTTTTTCCCCCTGTTGTGATGATCTACGGTTAATCCAAGTGGCACAGCCTGGGGCAAGGCCTCCAACTGACTACCAAGAGGGCATCAGCATAAAAGTCCCTCATCAGCACCAGGGCCAACAGGAGCAGATCAGGGCATCCGGGGGCCAATACTGGTTATTTCCTACCTTCCTACCTCATTTTCCAAAAGATGTTATAGTTAGGAACTGGCCAGCCAGGCATGTACATGCTCACAGATGCTCATGTTATCATTTTCATGTTAAATCTCTCCCATATCTATTTATTGATCTATTGATCTATTGACCTATCAATCTACACACACACACACACACAGAGAGAGAGAGAGAGAGAGAGAGAGAGAGAGAGAGGACTGTCACTCCTGCTTGCTCTGCTCACCAACACTGCCTCCCCCTTTGTTAACTTCCCATTAACTCCCTTGACCAGCCCTCTCTTCTTAACACGTCACCCACCCTCTTGCCTATTCCCTCCCCAGCTTGCCCCAATGCCATTTAAAGGAGGGGGAGGCAGTTCACATAGCATCCTTATTGAATGATAGAGGTGGGATGGGGGGGGGCACAATTGTAAATAGATGTAAACATTGTTTACCGCAAGCATTCCTCTCTTCGCTTTCCTACCCAGCCATGTGTGTATATGCAAAAAAAACACACCAAAAAACCAGGAACAAAAAACCACCTCTGCTTTTATTCTCCCCCCCCCCCCCCCCCCCCGCACTCCTCAGATATTTTTCTCTTGCCATACAAATAAATCATAGCTGAAGGAAAGGATTTTGGATCCCTTCTGCTGGCTCCTTCCCAACAGCTGGTCATCTCTGAGCACTTCATTAAATGACTCCTTTTATAGCTCTTTTCTTTTCTTTCCTATCTTTTCTCACCAGCAGTTTAAGGTTTGAGCTGCTGGCACAGCTGCTCGTGTTGCTATATGACTGGGGGTGGCAGCGTTGAGTTGGATCAAGTCTCTGGGTCCCAACCAAGGTTGTGAATTCATATTTGTAAGGTTGTAGTTTGTAGTTGTTGGGAAAGATTTAGGGCACAAGGAGAAGGGGACGACAGAGGACGAGATGGTTGGACGGTGTTCTCGAAGCTACAAACATGAGTCTGACCAAACTGCGGGAGGCAGTGGAAGACAGGAGTGCCTGGCGTGCTCTGGTCCATGGGGTCACAAAGAGTCAGACACGACTAAACAACTAAACAAAGTTTGTAGTAGAAGAGACTGCTGGATTGGCCAAAGCAGTCTCTTTGCTAAGTCAGTGTCTCTGAGCAGGCCTGTAATCACCTTGTTTACATGTCCAAAGAGCTGGTCATGTTGTCATACACGTTGACAGTGCTTCCAAAAGGAGGAGGTGAGACTTTCTCCTAACAGCTTACCTGGCTGGAGACCACATCATCATGAAGGCAGGTGAACAAGAGCTTGACATTTGTCTGGGCTGAAGATGGCAGTTGGAAAAGAGACACAGAAGCTTGTCTTGCTGTGTGCTGAATCCAAAGCTATGGCCTTGGGAACCCCTCCTAGAAACCTAATGAGGAAGCAAGTTCTGTTGAAGTGTTTTCTGTAAGCTCTTCCATCTTATTCTCAGGTTGCAGATATGTGTAAATAAAATCATATATCCTCAAGACTCCACAGTATCCAGCACTCTTCATCCCTAGGAAATTACACCCTGGATAAATGCTGGGAACTATGTGTTCTCTCCCTGCACAGATTGCGGTGCAAGCAAATGTATTTTATGGGTATCATCAGTAGAACTATGTTTTGTTAGCTAATGCAAGACAGGGGTGGGTTCTCATGTATTTTATTCATGGCTACATTTGTATTGCATCTTTCCTTTGAGCAGCTGGAGGTGATGTACATGGCTTTCCCCCTTTCCATTTTTATCCTCACAACAATATGGAGATTAGGTTAGGCTGAGAGACAGAACTGGCACAAGATCACCCATTCCTACCTCTCACCCCCTTGACTCAGTTTGCCTGACTGGAATTTGCTCTGTACTATAATAATGCCTCTTACAGGCCAGAATGAAAAGCGGTATGTGTGTGTGTGCACAGAAACTAGGGCTCTGACCAAATTATGGATCCCAAACTGAATCGGGCCAATTCAACCTGAGATTTGGCTGGAGCAGGTTGAGGCTGCCCTTGGTCATATTGGATCAGATCAGGTCCATCTCCAGTGATCTGGGGCTGTCAAAAGGGCTCCAGAATGCTAGTTAAATACTGTGTAAGCCCCTCAAACTGTTTTCAAGGCTCTGATCTGGGTCTGCCCTGGATTGGGCTCCAAATCAGATCAAGGGAGGCATGCATAGCCCTGGTAAAAATCTCTGGATTGTGCATGGCTAAAACATAGCCTGCTATGCAAAGGTAAAAATAACATTTGTTGCTCTGCACTTTTTGTCTCAGGACATGCTCACTACCAACATGTAGCCCCCCCAAAGGTTGTCTGTGTTGGGATGTAGCTCCTGGGATGAAAAGGGGCCCTTCACCTCTGGCCTAGTCCAGCGCTCTAACCACTGGGTGGCTTTCTTGAGCTGGGGCTTCCAGAAGTCAGGATTTGGTTGTCTTACCTCCAACACCCTCTTTCTACAGCAAGACTGGCATAATGAGACCTGCTTTGGAAGGCACCCTCTAG